GCTGTGGGCCAGATGTGTCCACCAGTTGAATAGCCCTGAAATAAACCCTAAAAATAACAAATTAAGTGTTTTTCTTTGCTAAAATATTTCTATGATTTTCCTTAACTTGAAACCTTTTTTAAAAACGGTCTCGAAACAAGCAATTATCGTTAAAATAAGTGTGAAAATACTTAATAAGTTGTTCTGTAAACAGATTTTTACTGTCTGTTTTGTGAGTTTTGATGTTTCCTCAGGCTAATCGTGTGTTAGCCGTGTGCCGTCAGGATCTACTGACGTTTTTTATTGTTTTCTTCTGTCAGAGTTCACATTTCAGTAACTTTGTCGACGAGCTGACGGAGTACCGGACCAAGAACGTCCTGGCCGTCCCCATCCTGAACGGTAAGGACATGGTGGCCGTGATGATGGCCATCAACAAGCTGGACGGGGCGTGCTTCACTGCCAAGGATGAAGAGGTAACGTTAATCCTGTTTCATCAGACTAAACAAAGACAAGTTCACTGATGAAAACCTGCTGCTTTTACCTGCAGACCCTCAACAAATACCTGAACTTTGGCAACCTGCTGCTGAGAGTTTTCCACCTGAGCTACCTGCACAACTGTGAGACCAGAAGAGGACAAGTAAGAAGGAACAGGAAACAGAAGCTTCCTGCCACGCCTTCATCTAAACGTCAACATTTTATTAAAACTCAAACATTTTCAGATGATTTTAAGTGCGAGCAGTTTTCTCCTGACTTTACGACTCATCGGAGGCTGATTTTTAAAAATCGTTTTTGTTCAGGTGCTGCTGTGGTCCGCCAGCAAAGTGTTCGAGGAGCTGACGGACATAGAGAGGCAGTTCCACAAGGCTCTGTACACGGTCCGGGCTTTTCTCAACTGTGACCGCTACTCTGTGGGGCTGCTGGACATGACCAAGACCAAAGTAGGTCATCTGGAGTTCAACAGCAGCACCTGGTTTTCTCTGTTCTAATAGTCAGTTTGGGTCCAGAACAACTGATTTAACATCAATGGCTCTCATCGAATTAATGGAAGAAATATCAACTGTTGTCAATCAAAACCTTTAGTGTGTTACTGGTTTTGCGACACCAYTAACCACAACATCTTTATTAAAAAGTTGAATAAATACAGCATTAGAGGATTAACACTACAGTAGGTGTCTTGTTTYCTGAATAACAGGAAACAGTTTGTTCAGGTAAATRATGTCAGATCTGGTTTATGTATCATTAGTTGTGGAGTTCCTCAGAGTTCTGTGCTCGGACCAACACTGTTTATTTTATATRTGAATGATCSGATCAATGTGTCGAGGCTTTTAAAACCTATTCCGTTTGCTGATGATGCAGCACTTTTTCATTAGGTTGAAAATATTGAACAGATGTTGGAGGTGATGCAGACAGAAATGTTATCATTGAATTTGGATAAAACAAATTACAGGATGTTTGGTAACTGAAAGAAAACTAAAAAMGTTCCATTCCGTGTCGAAGATACTGAAGTTTGTGAAATATATTTTGTTGGAGCACCGATTCCAGATGACACACAGGTGTGTGACGACGCAAACAGGAAC